AAAACAAATTTAATTTTGTTCCACTTTGTGTTACAAAACATAGCAAATAAAAAATACCAGGGCAGTATTTTTTTTCAGTTTTTATGGGACATGAAAAAACGTGCTGGTGCTGAAGTGGTGAAAACTTTCTGAGGGCCCTGTCACACCATATCCAGTGCGTTTGGGTGCGGTTCGAGCCCGGAACGCACTGGGATTGCATAGATCAAGCCAGGCCACGTTCTGGGGTGGGAGGGGGCATGGCGGTACCATTCATGTCAATGGCACCGCAGACGCGCCCCCCGCCTGCAGTGCGATCACCTGCACCGGAAAGTGAGATACAGAAATACCCTCTGTTCCAGTGCAGTGCGTTCGTTAAAAAAAAAAAAAATAGTGCACGCATTATTTTTTCTGAACGCACTGCACCGGAATGCAGGGTATTCCTATACCTTGCGTACCGATGCGGGCGATCGTGTGGGCGGGGGGCATCTGCGGTGCCATTGACATGATGGCTTGATCTATGCGATCCAGTGCGTTCTGGGCTCAAACCGCGCTGGAACGCAGTGGATATGCTGTGGCACACGGCCCTCAACCAGGCTGCTGTGGCATACTGGTCTGCCTTCTGGCCTCAGAGCTGCCTCAAAATGTTGTGGTAGTTTGACTGTGATATGAAGGTATTGTGAAGGGGACTCCTGATGTGGGATCTTGATCTGAAGGGGCACTTCAATGTAAAGGGGAAAACCCACTTTTTTGGGTGATTTTTGCGTTAGGGCCCCCTTAAAATCCATGACATTTTAGACTGGTGTTCCTCAAGATTTTGTATACTTTTTAAAGGGTGCCGTGGGTCTAAAAAAAAGGTTGAGCAATACTAGACTAGACTGAACTATAGTGCATAATCAAATGTACAGGTCATACATGAAGGGAAAAGGAGGCAACGGCATTATTGTAAAGGCCACATACAGTGGCAGGATGGAGATGAGGGGGTTAATGTGCAGGATAAGGGAGGTGAGGGATTATTATACAGGTCCATGCAGAGAGCAGATAGGGATCAGATATACACAAGAGGAGATGGGGCATAAAAGGGTTAAAATACGATTCTACAATCCCTTCCTTAAATCTGCTGCTGATCTTGAACCAATGAATGATCTTTTCTTCATTAGTTAATAATGGACGCACGGGCCACCTGACGGTTATTTCTGTAATAAGGTCTGCAAACGGCATTGCAAAAGTAAACGTCCACCAATTTGCCATTCATAGACCTACTTTAGTAGATACGTGGATGATCAACCCTTTCGAGGAGAGGGTCACTGCAGTCTCCTTCAAGGACTGTATCAACAGGCTTTTGATTGTGTTAGACAGGTTTTGCTTTTCCTTACAAGTCTATGGGAATACAAAACCGCTTGAAAGGCAGCGCCGAAGGGGGTCAACTGCACGTCAAATGCACCTGTAAATTAATTTGAGATTATCTCAGGATAATTTCTTGGAGATCCTCTTCAACTTATGTCAATCTGATTCCATCAACACAAGCCGAAAACCCATCAACACAGGTCCTTAGTGGGATCATTCACATGAAGTCATATATGGACAGTCAAATTGTGCTGTCCTCTCTCTAAAAAAAATTGAATCTCCAATATCTTTAATCCCTGGTATGTTCCCAAAAATGTTATATCTGTTGTGCTGTTTTGAGGTTTAGGATCACTTTTATGTTAAAACTGACTGACACTGTTATGGTATACATTGTTAGTGGCGCGACCACATACAAATAACTACTTTTTGTTTTCTGTTGCAGGTTGAGCAGCTTGTCATCTGTTAGTGACGGAGCATCAGAACGAAGGTCTCCCGGACACCAGCGCCAAACCACCGACTACAACGAGTCAACTGGTAACCATATCTGTCTGTCATACTGGGATGGGAGTGGCACTGGATCAGAAACCACTTTGGTGTTCGATTTTGAAACCTTGTGTGGTTGTGGGGCTGCTCCTTGGGCCATAGGTGCCCACCAACCATTGGGAACCTTAAATGAAAACTTGGGTAATGGAGAGCCAAAGGAAGGGATCAAGAGGATGGCCAATGATTTTTAAAGTGTATCTAAACCTGAAAACAGAAATGTAATATATTGCACCTTACCAGTCTTAGATGTGGTGGCTGTATGCATTTTATTTTTTTTAGGGCATTTTCAGTAAGTTCAGAAAATACCTGCTGATCCTGACAAAATGCAGTGTCCTTGTAACTTCCTGTGAGTCGAACTGATATATCAAACATCTTTTCTATATTTAAAAATATCTTCTGTAAATGACTAATCCCACTGCCATGTAATGGAGATGAAGAGAAGAAGGAATGTTGGTAGTTTATTCCTAGTGTGACAATCATGGCGCCTTCCATAGATACAGTGAAGTGAAGTGAGTGTTTTCATCCTAAGACAGGAAGTGCACTTTTTGCAGGATTATCAGGTGAAAATAAAGGTCTAAAAGTCTGAAAAAAGGAAACTAATGCAGCCACCACATTTAAGGAATCATAAACTGCAGTATATTGATGATTTGTTTTTGGTATACATACATTTTAATCCATAGTCGATAGTCAACATGTTTCAGGATTGTACAAATCCCTCTTCTTCAGGGCTTAGAAGTAGCAGGGTGTTGTCTGTTATTGTTTTTATTTTATTAACGGACAGGAAAAAACAGTTGCTGTTGTTTCTAATGTCCACCCACTAACTTTGTTAGGTCACATGCTAACATACACGTATATTAAAAAACTCAAACATATTTACACATTAAATTTGTGTGCACAGCAAGGTGCCCATCTGTATGTACTGCTTTAAGGTAGGGGAAGGCAACTCTGGAGAGGTGACGGTCTACCTAATCAACGAGGAAGTGATCAAAGATCACCGGAATGCAGTGCACTTTTTGTAAGAAGATAACCTAGCAAGGCTGCATTAAAAATAGGGAAGCGTTCAGGGGTTAGAAGTAACATAGAGTTGAGGGGTAAGTAGCATGTAACGCAGAGTTTAGGGGTCAGTAGTATGTAACGCAGAGTTCAGGGGTCAGTAGTATGTAATAGTGTGCTGGGGGCAGAGGTAACAGAGTTTGGAAGTCAGTAGCAAGTAATGCAAGTTCCAGGGGTCAGTAGTATGTAACCTAGAGTGCAGGGGGCAGTGGTATGTACAGATCAGTAGTAAGTACTGAACAGTGCAGGGGGTCAGGAGTAGGTAATGCAGAGGACAGAGTTCAGGAGTAATTATCGCATAGCGCAGTGCTCAGTAGTATGTAGTTGTCAATAGTATGAGTTCAGAGTGCAGGGTTCAGGGTTTAGGTGTAAGGAAGTTAGTTCAGG